GAACATCACACACCAGGTCCTATTGTGGGGAGGGGGTAGGGGGCAGGGATAGCATAGGAGATATACCTAATGTAAATGACGAGTTAATGGGTGCAGCACACGAACATGGCACATGTATACATATGTAACAAACCTGCACGTTGTGCACATGTACCCTAGAACTTAAAGTATAATAATAATAATAATAATAATAATAATAATAATAAAAAGATAAGGACAAGGAGCAATAAGAGATTAGGGAAAGGTTAGCAGAGACTGAACTCAGGAGTTCTGCTGCTTAGGCTTGAACTGAGACCACAAAAGCCTTGGAATTGTCTCATTAAGAGTACCTGACAGTGGTGCCACCAAACAGGATGTAACTGTCCTACTCCCTGTAGGAGGATTTGCCTATGAAGATTACACTTTGTAGCAAGAGCACAACAGAAACGGCAGGCACTTTGGAGTCAGACCACCTTGGATTCAAAGCATGGCTCTCCTACTTATTAACTCAGTAACTGATCTTATTATGGTGGTGGTGACAATGTTGGTGCTGGTGGTGGGAGTTAGGGTATTACTAGTAGTTCAGTGACCATGCAAAGCACTATTTACAGCACCAAAATAATTGTAAATAACCCTCTCAGTCCACCAAACATATTGAATGCCTCAGTCTATATTCTATCTCCAATTGGGGTGAGCAAGAATATGACCTCCTCAAAGTGATGTTGAATGAATTAAGGCCACTGCTTGGCATGAAAATAAGCACACTCATCTTATTATATCTTATGGAATTGCAAAACTCACTGTAATCCTATGCCCAATTAGTAGATTGGGATAGGAGTATGGTCAGAATTAGAAAGGAGAGGAATACATCCATTTCTACACCATTTTATTCCTTTTGTAAACTCTGAGACCAGATTAAATAATCCATGTAGGTAAAAAAAAAAAAAAAAAGAAAGAAAGAAAGAAAGAAAGAAAAAAAGAAAATGGAAACAGAGGCATCTTCTAAACATGTCTTTTCATGTTGTTTTATCTACCAAGTTAAATCACTCCCTGGTCTAGGCTATCTCTGTACCTGGCAACTTAGCTTCTACTGCCATGCTTAGCACAATGAATGTATAAACTTTCTACTTACTTAGCTGCTTCTTGCACTAGACCACAGGCTGCCAAAGGGTCTTGCTACCAGAGCAAGAACTAGGCCTTATTTATTGCTGTATCTCATGCCATAGCATAAAGCCTGCCCACAGGAGGCACACGATAGTTATCCACATCTATAAACTACAGAATGCATCTAAAGGGTTATCAAGAAAACAAGAGCCAGAAGTAGATATTAGGAGCTAGAATCTGAAGTTAGAAAACTCAAGAGGCAAGAAGGGAAGAACTGCCAACTAGGGAAGGCAAGCAAGAAGGGTAGGTTTGGGTAAATCCCTGAAACAAAGACTATGTTCTGAACAGATCGTGTGAAGAAAAAAGATGAGAAACATTGGGAAGCTGGAAGAAAACTTAAGAAAATGGGATGTTTAGGTTTGCAATTTGTAATGTGCTATACTTTTATGTTTATCTTGGTAAACAGTATCTCCCATATGTGAAACCAGATTTCTGAATGAGCCTCACCAATCCCTCTCCATCATCACCCATGCCCAATAGTCTCAGTTCCTCACTGGTATCTCTTTAACCTTTTCCCAGTATTTGATTCTCACTCCTGTCACCTTTGTTCGAGTCCTCATTATTTTCACTTGAAATGTTTTCTCCTCCAAATTCAATTCTCTGTTTCCAGTCTGTGCCCCTCAAAAACTCTTCTTTGATATGAAAATATCTTCCTAAAATATGGCTCTGAATATACAACTTCTTGGTTCAATCATCTTCAATGGCCCCTATTTACAAAGGTCTCCAGAATAAAATTCTCTTTATTGCCATGTATAAGTAACATGACAAAGTGCACTGTGCCTGAACATAAATCATGCTACTATAAAGATACATGCACACGTATGTTTATTGCGGCACTATTCACAATAGCAAAGACTGGGAATGTCCATCAATGATAGACTGGATTAAGAAAATGTGACACATATACACCATGGAATACTATGCAGCCATAAAAGAGGATGAGTTCATGTCCTTTGCAGGGACATGGATGAAGCTGGAAACCATCATTCTGAGCAAACTATCACAAGGACAGAAAACCAAACACCACATGTTCACACTCATAAGTGGGAACTGAACAATGAGATCACTTGGACACAGGGTGGGGAATATCACACACCACGGCCTGTCATGGGGTGGGAGACAGGGGGAGGGATAGCATTAGGAGAAATACCTAATGAAAATGATGAGTTAATGGGTGCAGCAAACCAACATGGTACATGTATACATATGTAACAAACCTGCACGGTGTACATATGTACCCTAGAACTTAAAGTATAATTTTTTTAAAAAAGGAACTAAGTTTTGAAAATGGCATCCACCACTTACTAGCAATGTGACCACGAGAGTCACTTTTACCTCTCTAAGACTCAGGTTTCCAATGAGAGAAAGAAAAAGAGAGACTAAGAAAAAGAGAGAACTAAGACTTAAAAAGAATGTGGCTAGCCCAGCATTGCGTACATGATACAGGCTCAGCATCTTTCCCTCAGGTTTTCTGCCCAGACCAGCATTCTAGCCTTAAGGATGCCCTTACGCAGCCCTGGATGCTGTGCTCTGTGATGCTATCCTCTGCGCTGCCACAGATGGTTGATCATTGTTCATATATCACTTATCCTGTTATGCCTGTATTTTATGTTCCTATAAGCATATTTATGTTACACTGTTTTGAGTAATTAGTTTTTTCTATCCTTCTAGATTTAAAATACTTTGAGAACAGAGGTGTGATCTTGTTTATCAAGCTTGTCCAACTAGTGGCCCGTGGACCACATCTGAGTGCGGCCCAACACAAATTCGTAAACTTTCTTAAAACATTATGAGTTTCTTTGTGATTTACTTTTTTAGCTCATAAGCTATCGTTAGTGTTTGTATATTTTATGTGTGGCCCAAGACAATTTTTCTTCTTCCAGTGTGGCCCAGGGAAGCCAAAAGATTGGACTCCCCGTTCTTCATCTTCATATCTCCTATATTATATTCCATTACGTACTGCATAGAATAGGAACTCTATAAGTGTCTACTAAATTGGGGTGCATTGCATAATTTTAAGGGGTTTATCCAAGTTTTAAAGTTGAACATTCCTTTTGGTGTAAGAATTAATAGTAAGAGGCAGAACAGAGAATTGCCATACTGAAAATAAAGTACCTCTAGTACCCAACACCAGCCTTGAAATACAGTTAGTGTTCCCTAAATTATGTAAATTTTTTTCAGATTAAACACCTACTGCGCCGAATACATTTTTTTAAGAGAATGCAATTCTTGAAAATAAGTGTTTTCAGTCAAAAAAGATTTGGGCAAGACAGGATAGTAACATCTACCCAAATCCATCAACAGTCCTAGGAAAAAAATAATGCCCAAAGAAGATTAGTTCTACTGGTATTGAACAGTAAAATTATTATGCTTTAGAATATGAGTTTTCATCTAAATAGGTTTGTATTCTCTATTTCCACAGAGACTTAAACCTGACAAAATGAGCTTAAATTGCGTGCAGAAATGTATAATGACTTTAGGGATTCTTCGGGTAAGATAAACAAAAATTGTTTCCCATTTTATTTTGGGTAAATAATATGAAGAGCTAATCTTTGAACAAATCAAAAATTAATATAGTTACTCTTTTTTTAATTCTATATCTTGAAGGCAAAGTAACCCAAAGTCAAACTTTTATAGTAGTGTGTACAGTAGTTATTACTGGTGTAACTTTTAATAGTTGTTACTGCTGATTCTTTAAAAATATATGGCAAAATGGTTAAGATCAAGAACTGTGGGTTGGGGGTAGACCCAGGGTTAAACCTCCTACAGCTTTAGATCTTGACCAAATTACTTATCCTCCAAATCTCTGCTTCATCACGTGCTATGACGATAATTGGAGCATCTATCTGAAAGGTTGCTGTGAAAAGGAAAAGATTAAATGATACTGATCATAAAGCATTGTGCCTGAAACAAAGTACTTGATAAATGGCAGCTATAATAATCATCATTACTATAAGTTTATCCAGTTGTAATCATTTTAGCTACCTACTAGAAATATGTATTCTTTCCAAAGCAGTCTTCTTTCAGCTAGGCATGGTGGCGTGGGCCTGCCTGTGGTCCCAGCTACTCAGAAGGCTGAGGTGGGAGGATCGCTTGAGCCCAGTAGGTCGAGAATGCAGTGAGCGTGAGATCGCGCCACTGCACTCCTGCCTGGGCGACAGAGTGAGCCTTCGTGTCTAAATAGTTAACTGGACGGGCAGGGTGGCTCACGCCTGTAATCCCAACACTTTGAGAGGCCAAGACAGGCAGATCACTTGAAGTCAGGATTTCAAGCCTGGTGAAACCCCTTCTCTACTAAAAATACAAAAATTAGCCGGGTGTGGTAGCAGGCACCTGTAATCCCAGCTACTCGGGAGGCTGAGACAAGGAGAACCGCTTCAATCTGGGAGGTGGAGGCTGCAGTGAGCCGAGATCGCGCCACTGCACTCCAGCCTGGGCGACAGTGCGAGACTCCGTCTCAAAAACAAAAATAAAAATAATTAGTTAATTAATCATTAATTTTTTTTTAATGCAATCTTCTTCCAAAGGCGATCACAAGGCTGTTGGAGGCTGGAGCCGCTAAGTCGCCCCCTACCGCGCGGGTGGCTTCGTCCGGGACCATTCCAGAGGCTGTGCCACTGCTGGAGGTGCTCAGCGGGGCCGGGACCCGCTTGGGGCACGGTCCGGGGCGGGCACCGGAGCCCGACTAGGCTGAGCGGCAGGTCCTGACGAAGCCACCCACGCGGCCCCGCCCGCCTGGCGGGATGAGTGACGGCGGCAACAGGTGCAGAGAGGCGTCCGCGGCTTCTCAGGAGCCCCCGAGTTTGGCGCGTCAGGCCCGGAGAGTCAGAGTTTGACTCTAGAACCTTCTTCGCATTACACCAGTCTTCGGAAGTCGCCCGTCAATCGGCTTCTTCCAGCCCAGTAAAGGCTTAAGGTCACCTCAACCTCTCGAAACCCACCAGTCCCAGAGGCCGACTCTTCTCAAGTGGAGGAGACGGGAAGGCGTGCCGTGCATGGAGCTTTGCCCGACCGCTCGCTCTCTCCTCCCCAGCCGTCTGAGAGCAGGCGAGAGGGGTCCCAGAACAGAGCCCTCGCTCCGCACGCCCCACGCCTGCCCCGCTGTGCCGTGCGCTCTGCCCCTGAGACGCCCCGGCTCGGAGTCCCAGAGCCGCAGCCGAAACTCGCCCGCCCGCGCCCCTCTCCGGCTTGCGGCGCCCGCCCGCACCGCCGCCTGCCACACGAGGCGACGCCGTCTGCTTCTCCCCACCCGCCAGGTGGCAGGTTCAGGGCCCGGGTCTGAGCCTGCTCCCCTGCAGCTGCCACCGCCGCCCTCGCCGCCAGGGGGCGAGAGTCCCAGGCAGGACAAGCAGCGCTGCTGCCTTGGCGTGAAGGTGGTTTCAAACTTTAGGCTTCTCTTCCCTACCCGCGTCTCTGAAGAGCAGAGAGGAAGATGGAAACCGAGTCCGGGCAGGTGAGTACGGCGATCAGGGCCCCAGGGCGCGGGGTAGTGGGGAGAAGGAGCAGCGTGGAGCCGGTCCCTGAGCGCCTGGAGGGGCAAGGTGAAGACCCCAAACGCTCGCTATCTGGTTAGGAAGAAACGTGGCCAGGTGCCCCATTGACTGCTGCCAGGAGCCGCCCGCCCGCAGACCTCGTCTGGCTGTGTCATGGGGGTCAGGAAGGCGCCGCCACGGGGCCTGGACTGGGTGTAGACGGGCCAGGGGACCTCAGGCGCAGATATTTCGGGAGGCGGCGGGCTGCCGGGCACCCAGCGGAGTCCGAGCAGATAAACTGCTTTCCCGCCGAAATTGGGCTAGGCAGCGTCTTTGACGCTCCCTCCGGCCGAACTTCGACCCATCGGCCCAGAGCGAGGAGTTGTCAGGGCGGTCGACGCCTCCACTCCCCGACTGGTCAGCGAGGACCGGAAGGTCTGAGAGACCTCGCGGGGGCCCGCCTGTGGCCCAGGTGGGATCCGGACACTGTAGCACTGGCTGTGCACCCGAGCCAGTCAGGGCGGACTTGGGGAAGTGAAGGAAGACGGCTCACACAGGCCCGAGGCGCAGCGGCAACGTGCCGTCCCGCCCTGCCCCGTCCCGCCGCCAGCAGCCAATCAGGGAGCGCCGCGCGAGGGTGGGGACCAGCTGCGCACGAGGCCAGCAGCGGGGTCTGTGCCGTTGAGGGTTCCCGCCACTGCTGCTGGCGGATTTGCGGGGCAAAATTTCTCGCTGGCTAGCCTTCTTTTCCCTCCCGCACTTTGGTGGGGAGGGGGTGGATCCTCGTTTTGGTGCCCAAGTTCACGATGACCCGAGAGAACTCGAGGAAGTTGTCGCCGCGGCCATTTCCCCCAGTGCGGCAACTTGCTGGCCTTGGAGGGGGAGGAGCGCCGAGGCAGTGACTGCGACGGTTAGCCCGCCCGTTCCTGCTGTCTTCCTTTGCAAAATAGATGCTAGATCTCGAGGTTGACTTAAGGGGAGGAGCCAGTGAGGGCACATTGCTTTGGAGGAGAAGTTTAATAAACTCTCTAGTGCTGGAAGTTTTAGCAAGCGGAGGAGACTTCAGACCCGACAACAGTCCCCTTCTAGATGCTTCCGTAACACGTGCGGAATTTATTGCTAGTTAGAATTTGAGGCTTTCTTTGTTGTTTAACTCAATGCATCACTAATTGTTAATAATGAACTTAGATGTTGCCTCTACCTAAGCCTTGCTATTGCTAACATTAAAATATTTCGTAGGCCTGGTGCGGTGGCTCACGCCTGTAATCCCAAGACGTTGGGAGGCTGAGGTGAGCGGATCACGAGGTCAGGAGATCGAGACCATCCTGTCCAACATGGTGAAACCCTGTGTCTACTAAAAATACAAAAAAATTAGTGCACGCCTGTAGTCTCAGCTACTCGGGAGGCTGACGCAGGAGAATCTCTTGAACCGGGGAGGCAGAGGTTGCAGTGAGCTGAAATCACGCCACTGCACTCCAGCCTGGTGACGAGCGAGACTCCGTCTCAAATATATATATATATATATACACACATACACACATGTGTATATATATATAGTAGACTGCTGTTATACTGTATTCTTTTGCCTTCAGCCTATTTGGCATATCGTGAGCAGGTCTCTCCTGAAGAAATGATTCACTTTTAGTCGTTCAACAGATATTCATTGAGCACCTGCTGTGTACTGTCAGTACTTTAGATGCTGCCGTGAAAAAAGCAAAACTCCTGCCCTAGTGCATTACATAATAGTGGAGACGGATAATGGACATAATAAGTAAATTATATCGTATGTTAGAAAATGATGAGGGAGAAAAATTAAGCAAAGCGAGCCCACATTAGAGCAGGAGCCTTAGGGACTGGAGGAGAGTGAAGTGAATTGAGTGTGAAAGGTTTTTCTTTTCTCAGGGAGTATCCTTTAGTTTCTCGAGATTGGAAATAAAGCACTGTTCCGTTCATTTCATCCTTCCCTCGATGAAATATAATGGGGTTTGTCTTTTACTTAAACTTGCAAACAAATTAGTACATCTTATTTTCAATAAGAGAATTTCATGAAGAATGATTTTTTTAATTTAGCAAATAGGTAACTTTGACACTGTAAAAAAATGGGCAGAAAGACAAGATTACATCTAGTAGTGCTGTTATATTATTTCTAGCAATACAAAATCCACAGTTGAAAAATACTAAGCATTCCAGAATTACCCATTCTGAGCATTATATCCTACTGAGCAAAGTGACTGATGTCACAAATAACCTCCAAGTGCCCAGAGAGAAAGTTGTTAAGATTAGATTCCCAGTTTCTTTCATTGGAAACTACAACATAGTAATTATTAAATGTGGTGGCTTTTCCGTGTTTTAAAAGAAGTATTTACGTATTCCCTTATTAGGAGTATGTACTTCCTTAAGGCTGGATGGAGAAGAGAGCCCATAAGGTCCAGCCTATAGCCCAATTGCCACTCCTGCCCTAGTCATTTCTCTGTACATCTTGCAAAGATTAATTGAGGGATTGTGATTGTATTGACCAGAGAAGAAAGAACACAAATTTGAAAAAGAACAACTCTATTACCTGAACTGGAAATTCATTTTCATGTGTTTGTTTCTCAGAGAATTTGAATTATGAACTTCAAGATTTGTTATTTTCTTTTTCTTTCTTTTTGAGACGGGGTCTCGCTTTGTTGCCCAGGCTGGGGTTGAACTCCTGACCTCAAGCAATCCTCCTGCCTCAGCCTCCCAAGCAACTGGGATTACAGGCACAAGCCACAACACCCAGTTTACTTCAAGTTTTTTGAAGCACACATTTAGGATATTAGACTGTCTCAGAAGTGTGTTTAGTGTTTCCAGATGGAAAATAATTCACCAGTTCTTGAATTGGTTTCTCTTCTACATGATTCTCAAGTCCTGGTTTTCTTTCAGTTATACCTTAAAAGTCTATTATTTTACCATTCTGCAAAGGCTTATACATTTATATATGTTTATTAAAATTTAAATTAGATCCTCTAACTTATCGTTGTGAACATATGGATATGTACTGAGCTAATTCTTTGGAATAAACATTTATGAGCTATAAGTATATAATTTTTAACAAAATCAGTCCAATCTTCAAAATGACAAGTGCATTTAAAATTTTGACCTTCAGGCTGAAAATAGTGAATGTGAATGTTACAGTTTATTAACTTATCAATGACCATTAGTTAAAGACCACCAGGAACACAAGCGTCATTTAGTGAAGTTGGGTCTGTTAATCGTTCAAACAAAGGAAAACAGAAACCATGGGGCCTCTCAATCAGAAGGTGTTAGAACTCATAGGATATAGGCTTGTGTTGAGCAATTTTTAGAGAGGGTTTAAGGAAGCAGGGCTTTACTCTGGAATGTATATCGTCAGGAAATGGTAGTAATTCTATGATTGGATGTGTTAACTTTTATCTAAAAGGAAAGAAAAATGGATCGAGGCCAAAACTATAACTAATAAAGAAGGGGCAGTCACTCATATCAGCCAGAATGGAGGGATGTTTGGTTATTATTGGATTTGGGCAATGCGTTTTTTTTAGTCAGCCTTCAAACATGATTGTGGAGTGGTCTTGTTTTTAATCTTAATCCATCAGAGTCACAGGGTGACTTTGTCTGATGTTGGTATTCTGTTAATGAGAGAACACCACAGCCTAGCCGTGAGTGCCAGGCCGACTCCTAACAACACCAGGGCCCAGCTGATTGTGTCAGGCTGGGACTGTTTTTCTCTTTCTCAAACATCTTCATGAGTTTAATATTCCCCTTAACAATTAAGTAATCGGTTTGATAATAATATAAGCATTTTAAGTAATGTACTTAATATTTAAAATCTCTATAATGGAGTAGATTCTGTGTTTCCTAGTTCTGTTGCTCTAAAAAGCTCTTAGCTCTAATTATAATTTTTATAATATTAAAAGTAAAGCCTAGAATACTATATTTTACCTAAATGACTCATCTTTTTTAAAGATATACATTTTCAGTCTGCATCAAAAGCAGACTGCATTATACCCAGTGCAAAAAGTGTAAAAGAATTTTATTTTACAGCAAACATCAAACCAGATGCAAACAGATTCATTATCTCCATCCCCTAATCCTGTGTCGCCTGTGCCTTTGAATAACCCAACAAGTGCCCCAAGATATGGAACAGTGATCCCTAATCGCATCTTTGTAGGAGGAATTGACTTTAAGGTACCTATTTATGCATGCAGTAAAGTGTATTTTTTCATTAGAAGTCTTTATTTCTCAGAAATTGTTTATTTGTGCAGCTATAAAATCATAACATATTTGCATAATGATTAATAGATTTCAAATTTCCTTCTTATAAAGAATCTTTTGAACCAACATGTAGGTTACATAAAGTATAAAAACTGTTTGTTCAATGTCAAATACAAGGAAATTGAGCCTCATTGACTTGCTGTAGGCTCCTAGCCAGCCACATAGTGACAGAGTGAGACTAGAAGCCTCGTTTTCTGTCTCATAGCTCCACACTCTTCCATACCAGAACTAATTATACTTTCTTGCCTATACTCCAATAGCCAAAATAATGAATGATTATAATTTTCAAAAGAGACTCAATTCTTTAAAAACTTAGTTTTATGAAATACTATTTCTTTATCCCAACTCTTATCTCAGATTCCTGAGCAACCTCCTAGGCGTCTATTCTTTGCAAAGCACTTTCTATGTTAGAGTTTAGGATTTGATTACCAGAAAACTCCTGTGTCCTTGTCAAAATAAAGCATCTTAAAAATAATATATTTAAGCAGAAAAAAATAACTACTCAGTACTAGACTTAGTACCTGGGTGCCTAAATAATCTGTACAACAAACCCCCATGACGATTTATCTTTATAACAAATCTGCACGTGTACCCCGAACCTAAAATAAAAGTTTTTTAAAAAGTAATATATTTACATCATGTAATCAGCTATTCCACTCTTCCAAGGAAGCATAGTTCATGAGATGATGTGCAGTGCCCCCCACCCCGCATGAGTAAACACCTACAAGAAAGGCATGCATAGATACTGTAAGTGGAATACTCTTACTTTCAAATGGATATATGGAAGGATTTCCAAGACTCTATTTTACATATTAGAAATTATAGGGAGAGTTATTTTGGACAAAAAAAAACTTTCCTTATACCATTAGGTGTGATATTTGACATTTATAACTCACTATTTCCATATAATCAATCTGTTACAATTTGGGTGGAATTTCTTTTTTCCTGCACAAGAGAAATGTTACACCTAGTGTATTTGCCAAAACAATGAGTCTTAAACAAGTATATGATTGTTTCACTAAAAATAAAGTAAGAAAAATTATTTCTTATAAAATATTTATTTTTAAAAAGGTTTTCTGTATCTGTGGAAAATACTGATGGCTGGCAAAAATGTTCAATTTGGGAATTCATTTATATTACAATAGCTTAGCATGTTTTTAAAAATAAGTTATCAATAAATATAAATATGTGTATGGCCAAGTTATTTTAGGTTACTGAAGCCCATTAGCTGCAGCATGAACTTTGGAAACGGTTGTTATAAGGCAGCCATAGCTTTACGGTAACTGCTAGGGCTCCCTCCTGTATGCTTATACCTTTTTCAAAACCACAGATAAAGTCCAGCAAGGAAATAATTTACTGTAATAGCAAGTAGTCACAGACTTTTTAACCTTTCATTTTTAGAAGCGAACAGACTATCTCTCTTAATGCTTACTTTTCTTGACTGTCCCTTTGTCACTGAAGAAGTGGAGCTACAAAATTCAGCTATGATTATTCTACCAGAGAATAGTTGGAATTAATTTGTATTCAAATATCTAGTAACAATTCTTATTCTAGCATTGATTTCATTTCCTGTTAACTGAAATAAAAGGCATTCAGTTTTTCTTAGATTGAATCAGTATTTGTCATTATCCAGCTTAGCAGGCTTTATGTTACCAGCTAAAAACCAATAGTATATGTAAGTAGTGAGGTGACAGTTGAACTCACAAGGCATAGCTCTGCACTAAGGCATGTCTTTTTCTGGTGTATATAAAGAAATTTTTTTCTAGAGAAAAGTTACTCTTGTAGACAAACAATTACAGCTAAACCTGAAAATGAAATTGCAATGAATTTAGTGTCAGCATTCTGAGAAAAGGTGATATGAGTCTATTATCAGACTATTTTGATTAGAAAAACAGATATGCCAAAACCATCTTTGTAGATACTTTGTATGTTTTAAATGTAATTATGATTCCAATTTTTATTTTACTCTCAAAACAATGTCTGAATTTAGCTGAAATGTATATTGAGTACAGATAAGGAATCTAATAACTTTAAATCTTATAGTCACTCCATTGTTCTCACAGTTGAGTTGAAGCACTTTTGGAAATACATTCCTTTCCTAAAACTGACTTAAGAAAGGAGTTCCTGAGACTACTGATTAAAATAGAATGACTGGTGTAGGCCAACATAACCTAGTTCCAGTGCCGTGAGTGTCTCTGAGCCACAAGAGCCAATAGTAATATACCCTTACTATGGAAATAGCATTCCTAATCCAAATTGGTTTTTAAAAAACTGGCCAGCTAGCGAACAAGAATCATAAAGACTTCTTTAAATAATGAGCTTTGTAGTTTTAAAATAATTCAGCTTACATTTTTATTGACATATAGTAATTTAACAACATAGCTATTGTATAAAGCAAGGTATTTATTTTGATTTTAATCACCTGGTGGTTTATGCACTGTTTTGATCATGAGAGGCATTTTTCATGCATCTTATCTATAACTTTTTCTGTCTCCAGAGCA